CTTCCTTTCCAGTCCATTTAAATGCTTTCCCCTCTTTGGTAGCCTCATATAGAGGTCTGGCCATCTCAGCAAAACCTGGAACCCAGAGGCAGCAGTAGCCAGCCAATCCTAGGAATTTTCTTACTTCCCTCCGGGAGGTGGGAGTAAAAATTTTCAGGACAGTTTCTTTTCTGACATCTGATAACCACCGCTGTCTGCCCTCCAGGATGTATCCCAGGTAACTTACCCTCTCCCTGCATATCTGAGCTTTCTTGGCGGGTGCCCGGTACCCTAAGGCCCCCAAGGTTGTCAGCAGGTCCTGGGTCCCCTGCTCACAGTCTTCAGCCGTGTTGGCAGCAATCAGGATGTCATCTACGTATTGTAGGAGGGTAAGGCCAGGGCGCTCCCTTCTATACTCACCTAGGTCCTCGTGTAGCACTTCGTCAAAGATAGTGGGCAGATTTTTGTACCCCTGATGCAGCCGTGTTCAGGTGAGCTGCCCACTATAGCCCTCCTCTGGATCATGCCACTCAAAGGCGAACAAGGGTTGGCTTCAGGGTGCTAGTGGCAGACTGAAGAAGGCATCTTTTAAATCTAGTACAGTATGCCAAACTCTGGAGGGCGCCAAGGAGCTCAAGAGAGTATATGGGTTGGGAACAGTTGGGTGTATGTCCGTGACTCTCTTGTTTACTTCCTGGAGGTTCTGTAACAGTTGATAGTCATTCGTGTGAGGCTTTTTGACTGGCAGTACGGGGGTGTTCCAGGCAGACTGGCAGGGAACTAGTATTCCTAGGCTTCATAGTTTCTGGATGTGTGGCTGGATTCCCTTCCAGGCCTCCTGAGACATGGCCTGATCCTTACCAGACCTACCCCTGGCTTGAGCTGTACTAGGACTGGGGTCCTGTGAGCGGCTAGTCCTATTCCTCCTGTCTCTGCCCAAACTGGGGGGAATTTTTGTAGCCATCTGTCCATGTTATACTCTCTCAGGAGCGCCCTCTGGTGGAGGTGGTATTCATCTTCTAGTTTCATGGTCAGGACCTGGATAGGGTGGCCCTTGTCATCAGTGACCTGAGGCTCTCCCTGTCTGAAAGTTATCTGAGCTCCAATCTTTGTCAGTACGTCCGTCCCAACAGCAGGTAGGGGCATTCTGGTATCACCATAAAGGAGTGGGACAACCGGCCTGTTCCCAAATCTACTATTCTTCGGGTAGTCCATGAATACTGGCTGATACCAGTTGCCCCTTGTAACCAGGACTTCTTGCTCGCTAGTTTTCCTTTTGGGGTGCAGAGGACCAAATGCGGTGCTCCGGTGTCGACAAGGAAGTCAACAGGGATCCCCTCCACTCTTAAGAGTTACCCTGGGCTCGGGGAGGGGGTCCAAACCCCGACTCCCTTAATCACTCAGTTCATCCAGCTCTAAGACTTCTACTCGATCAGTCTTGCTTCCCTTACCATCAGCCTTTTTCAGGCATTCTCGGGGCCCAGTGCCCTCTTTGCAATATGCATACTGATCTTTCTTCAGCCTCTTGGTGGTTCCTCTACCTTCTTTTGGGTTGTCTGCCAGCTGCCAGAGACGGCGGTCTCATTCCTCCAGGGAACCAGCAGTGGTAGCTAGTAGTATTCTGGCCAGGTCTTGAGTTTGCTTACTGCTGGCAGCCACCATGGTGCAAGCCTGCTTATCTTCAGGAGACTCCCGGTTGTTGTATACCTTTTCGGCTACTACCAGTAAGTCCTGCAGACTTATTTCTCCTAGACTATCTATTTTCTGTAATTTTCTTCTAATGTCTGCGGCCGACTGGTTTACAAAGGCCATGATAACAGCTGCCTTGTTTCCGAGAGCCTCTGGATCCATGGGGGTGTAGGTATGGAATGCCTCCATGATCCGTTCTAAAAAGGCAACCAGAGAATTCATCTTTTTCTTTTCCTGTACATTTCCTACCCTGGCCAAATTGGTTGGCTTTCTAGCAGCCATTTGGAGACACCCCATTAGAGTCTGGCAGTAGACTCGGAGCCTCTCCTTACCTTCTGCTGTGTTGAAATCCCACTCGGCTGAGTTAAGGGGAAGGAGGTGTTTATCAGCCTGATTGGTGGTAGGATTCCTGTCTACGCCCGGAACTAGTTTTTGGGCCTCATTGAAGATTCTCTCTCTCCTCGGTTATGAACAGGACCTGCAGAAGCTGCTAGCAGTCGTCCCATGTGGGCTGATGGGCAAAGAGAACAGTCTAATAAATCAATAAGCCCTGCCAGCTTCTCGGAAAACTTAGGATTCTGAGCCTTCCAAATGTAGAGGTCACTAGTGGCGAAGGGCCAGTAGTGGTGGGGTTGATTTCTCTGGTCGTCTGGGGGGCTGGTGGCTCGTAGGGGAAGAATGGTGGAGTCAACGGCAGAGGCGTACTGCTCCCTCTGGGCCCTTTGTCTGGTAAAGGGCGGGCTTTCCACTGGAGCGCCTCCGCCCCCTGCTCTTGGAGCGGCACCTGCTTCCCCCGGAGGTGGGGGCTGGTGTCCCTCCGGCATCCTAGGAGGCTGATATGGGGGAGGAAAAATTAGTTTTTCGTCAGCCCTCCCCTGTAGGACAGGGTAGAGGGGTGCTGAAGGCTGGGTAAGACTTTTGAAAAGTTCTTCTCCGTCCTCTGCAAAGCAAGAATGGGTTTCGGCTCCAGAGGGGGTGGGGCAGGGAGGGATTAAGCCAGGAGGGTGGGAAAGGGAACTGATAGGGTGGGTAAGGGAACTGATCAGGATGACTTGTTTTAGACCGAAAGACGATATCCCTGACTCAGTGGATGATAGGGAGGTCGAAGATTCCCTCTGGCGGCCATCTGACACTGAAAGCTGGCTACTCGCTAGAACAAAGTCTGCCACCGACCCTTCCAGACTTCCACACTGAGGTTGTTAGCTCTTCCCCTGACATCTTTAAAATGATCTATCATAATACTTAGAGAAGTAGTCTGAGCCTGTCCCATAATGTCCGTCCAGTAAGTCCACAAAATAAAACAGAGAAACACAGAAACAGACAAATAAATAGAGGGCCCTGAAAACAGTCTTCCAATTCTGTGGAAGCAAAACCGAAAGCTAGACGACGGCCTCACACCGACTGACGGGAGCGACCCGCGTCATCTCAGACCTTTGAGGGGATCCACGTCCCTCCAGAAGGGAGGATCAGAATGTTTTCCGAATCCTCCTGCCCGCAGTCTTGCAGTGCGTCCACTTAGAGCATGCCGGGCACTACCAGAATTACAGAAATGAGCTCATGCGGAAAAAAAAAAGCGACAGGAAGCAGATACACAGAAGAGACAGGGAACGAAGAGATACCAACTGTGGCCAGTCAAGCTCTCCGGGTCAGGGTCCTTCGGGGTCTTGGGGATCCCGGATGAGCCCCCAAATGTTGTGCCCAGAATTCGTGATCCCCAAAGACTGCCAGGGAGCCAAGTCTGGTGCAAAAGCAAAGCCTTTATTTGAGCTAGCTCGAGCTCAATCTCCCATCCACACCGATTAAGCGGCGAGATGCTGGAGAGAGAGAGAGAGCACGTTTCAAAAGCACAAAGGTTTTTATAGGGGTCTAGGGGCAGTTGGCAGGGTGATGGTCGTGGCTTTAGCCGATTGGCTGGGGAAGGGTCGGGGCCCTGTTGCACAGTTTGCTGGGCGTGGTTTGAGCGGGAAGGGGCTGGGTCGGAGACACAGCTACTCAAGATGGAGGGCACAGAACAAGAATGGAGTCGGTCCCGGTTTGCTCTTTCATTAGAAGATTAGATTTTTGTGTACAGAGTTTCTACTTGCAATAGAAAATTAATTTTTATGTTCACTAATATTCCAACAGTATAAAAGTATATGAAGTAAAAACTGAGAGACCGCTCATCTTACTCATATTCTCTAGGAGTAGCTCTTCTTAATTTCTTTATATATGACTAACATGCAATACATGTGCGTAGTTTTATTTAAATAACATATCATACACATTGAACTTTGTGCTTTAATATATGGACATCTTTCTTTGTCAGTACATGTTAACTAAGTTTAACTTTTACAATTTTTAATGGATTATCTAGTCTGTTATTTTGAAAGTATTAATGTTAATATCTGCTTTTGCAGAATTAAAAAACAGATTATTAGGGAAAAAAAGAAACTTAGAAATTTTCTAGTTGAGTATCTCATTGTCCAAATGAACCTGAGCACCAAAAAGGGTAAGTGACTGGCCCAAGACCACACAAAATAATTAGTATTAAAACCAGGTCTGAAACCCAAGAATTCAGACTTTGAGGGCACCCTACTTCCTAATTCTCATTTTAAAAAGTACTTTGAGTGTATGGTATGAATTTGTTTCGGTAGGAAATTCACATAATCATTTTGTGCATAGGTTAATGTAATGTTACTGCCTTTTACTAATGACCTATCACTAATGAGCTCAGAAAATGCAAGGTGAAGTACTGCTAGGCAGCAGGAAAAATTTAAGTTAAGGTTTAGGTAATTCAAAAACTACCTGCCTCACTAGATTACTGTGATATTGAAATAACAAAGAATTTAAAGTGCTTGTTTACACTAAGAACTCAGCAAATCAAGGTGCTATAATCAAGTGTTGATTATATCATAGTATAATTCTTAACTTGGGCATGTAGAGCAGGAGTTAGCAAACTTTTCTGTAAAGGGCCAAATAGTATTTTAGGCTTGGTGGACCACATAAGGTCTCTCACAGTCTTACAAAAAATTTTGCAGAGCCTTTAAAAGTGTAAAGCCAGTCTTAGCTCATACAGCAGTACAAAAATAGGTGGTGGGATTTAGCTCATGGCTGCAGTTTGTTGACCCTGATCTAGAGGAGTATTCCCATGTTGGGATTACCAGAATCTCAGCAGTGTAAGATCTGAGAACTGCCATATGAGATAAAAGGAAAGATGGAAGTTAATGGAAAATAGCAAAGAAATGGCTATGGGTTTGGGGGAGAAAACCTTAAGATATTTCTTTGTTGATACATATAGCATAACTGTATGTTATATATGTTACATATTTCCTTTTTCTAATATTTAAATTTAGGTGTGAAGCCTATTCATGCTGCAGACCAACAGCTACTTATAGTGGCAAATGCCCACATGCATTGGGACCCAGAGTATTCTGATGTGAAACTTATTCAGACCATGATGTTTGTCTCAGAAGTTAAAAACATTCTGGAGAAAGCCTCTAGTAGGCCTGGCAGCCCAACTGCAGATCCTAATTCCATCCCGCTGGTGCTATGTGCTGATCTTAACTCATTGCCAGATTCAGGTATTTATAGCATCATTTCTTCATTGCTTTCAATTTTGCTTTTACTTCTAGTTGAAAGGCCCCTAGCTCCTAACTTTTGTGAATAGAGAATTTCTCTTCTAAACTAGGGAGTGTATCATTAAGAATTCCAGGGATGAGATGTGAGGTAATTGAGGAGAGTTTAGTAAAGAGGCTATTTCCCAAGGTATGTACAGGGTTAAAGAACACAAAACAATGAATGGTGCAATACTCTGCCTTTACAGGAGTTAGTGACACTTTACCAACCCTACACGTAAAGGGGAAAGTGGTGGGAGCTGTTATAAGAACTTGCAAAAAATAATTATAAGGAGAGGGCCACTTAGTAGAGCAATGGTTTTGAATTAAGTGATGTGATCAATCCCTGGCATCAACAAAAAGGGAACCAGGGGAATAAATATCCCTACTTCACTCTGCTGTGCCCTTTGATCTTCTGCCAATACTGCCCATTGACCAAATCCAACTAAGCCAGAAGGGTAGTGGCCAGCAGTTGATAAGTAAAGGCCAGCTTCCTGAGGCAGAGAGCTATAGAGGAGGGTGATCAGAAGAGGCAACTGGAAAACATTCAGCGCAGCTAGCTTTCTAGTTTAATAATGTTGACAACTTTTTAAGTGAATTCACTAAATGATACTGAGTACTAACAGTAGGTGCAGAAGAGTGATTAAAATTCTCCTAAGATTTCACATTAACTTTTGAGTTCCATTAAACTAATTTGTGTTCTAACATTACTATTTTAGATTTCTGTGAAAAATCAGTTCTGCATTTTAGATTATTAAATTTCAAATTTAAAACATTAAAGTATTACTGTTTTGCTATAAAAAACATATTCTAAATTTTGTATATGTTCACTGAGCTATTTTAAACGGTTTTAAATAATAACAGTAAATATAAAATAACCCATGTGCCTTCTTGGAAATATTCATGAAAGTCACAAACCTAGAAAACCCCTTTACCTTTTTTCCTTAGCAAATTACTGAAATCATCCTTTCACAAGTGTTTGTCTTCAGCCCACAGCTCCATTGGCTCCTTAACTATGTACTCCTTCTTTAATCCTTTTTTTGTGCTGAGTTGCTCTCTGTCGTTTCCCCCTTCTCCTCTGATTTGTTTAAGCTAATGAGCTGTCAGGTGAAAGCCCAACATAGTGAGCTAACTATGGAACTGGACTGTCAGGGTTGGATCCTGTTTCTACCACTTAGAGCTGTGCATTATGACTAAGTCCCTCATTTATAAACAAGGCAGTAATCGTTTATTCTTCCTCATAGGATTGTTGGTGAGGTTTAAGTGTGAAAAGCACTTGAAACAGTCCCTGCATATAGTAAATGCTACATAAACGATAGCTCCTTTTCAGCTACCCCCAGTCCTGATACTGCACTCAGCACTTGTTCACCATCTGTTGCTGTCATTCTTAATCACAGATAGAAAAGATGAGTAACAGCATTCACTCACTAATCATTATGTGAAGAAGGGTTGTGATACTTGTTCCATATTTACTTATTCAGTGGAAGCAGTGTACTTTTTTGAATGCATCTATTCTCTTTAGCGTTTTAGATATACCTACTATTTTTGACTGTAGCTCAAAATAAAGAATGATGTTGTCTAGCTGAAAATAGACATTGACGTGTTGAAATGCAAAATCTATTTTTTGTAAATGATTTTTATTTTTTATTATATGTGCTATATTTTACATATTCCCAAAGTTGTTGACTGACTACATAGAACAGTTAAATACTAAAGTGACAGCATTTTGGAATAATACTGTAAAAGCATTCAGGATTAAGACCTTTTTGGTGAATGCCATACTAGTTCTTGAGGATCACCTTCAGTCTGACAAACCATTAAGAAAACTTTATCAGGAAGAAAATTTGTCAGGTGATCCTGATAGTTTGCTCTGAAATAGGCAAATACCCTTCAGTTTGATCTGAACCATATGAAATTGCTAAAATTTAATTTTTTTTTTTTTTTATAGCAATAGCCAAAAAAGAAAAGCAGCTTCATATGGCCCAACCCAGTTAAGCCACTCTGAACCTGGTATATCCACAAACAGCATATTTTGGCCATAGAGTTTTATGTAAGTTCTACTTGCTAAACACTAGTGTTTCTTCTTTATTCTGCTAGGTGTTGTGGAGTATTTAAGCAATGGAGGAGTAGCTGACAACCATAAAGACTTCAAGGAACTAAGGTACAATGAGTGTCTTATGAACTTCAGCTGCAATGGAAAGAATGGAAGCTCAGAAGGGAGAATTACACATGGCTTCCAACTGAAGAGCGCCTATGAAAATAACTTGATGCCTTACACCAATTACACCTTTGATTTCAAAGTAAGTGACAGCCTCTGGGCTGGTGTAGAAATTATTTCAAATGCAAGCATGTGGCAAGACAAGTATATATTATTTATGCTTAACTGTATTATTTTCAGGAATTTTTAGATTCTCAAAATGTATTGGTTAATTTTGCACCTAAATGTAGGGAGGTTTGTTAGCTTTTTTGGTGGTAGTTGTTGACAGAATTCTTTGCACCCTCAAATTTCAGATAACATTGATAATAGCAAAAACTTCCAAAATGCTTACCATTTTGTGCTAGGCACTGTTCAGAGCACTTCATATTTATTAATACAGTTAATCTCACTTGTCCATACCATCCCTAACTTTCAGTAAGGGTCCAAATAATAATCAACCTGATATAGCTCAACTTACTTCAAATGAATGATGTAGTATTCTCTCAAAAGTTTAACACTTTCCATTGATGTCTTAATTATCTTTTAAGTTTTCCATTCTTTTTTGGGAGATGGGGTTAGAGAGGGTTGTACTTAGGGTTTGTTTTACATCCATATAGTTATCCTAATACATTCTCAGGCAGTGGAACTCTCCAGCCAATTTTCTGATCACTCTCTGCCTGTAGCTCTTCTACCTCTGTTTGACTTTCTGACATTTTAGGCATCTATCCTAGAATCTTATACCATTCTGAAAAATGGGATGATGTTAGTAGTTTGGGGTAAGAGGCCTAGAAGGAATTTAATAAAGTGCCAAAGGGAATTTTCATATAAAATGGGCTCTCAAACATCTCTAAAATCCTTTTTCCATTCTCAATGCTGTGAGAAACAAATAGTAGGAAGAAAAAAGGAAATTTGTATGCTGATGTTATTAGCCAGTTCTTGTAATCATGAAGTAGAAAAAGAATTGCTTAGAAGAAGTTGAATTTCATTTTGGTATTTTTGACACTTAGAGTACGTGACAATCCAGTAATAGTTGATTTTGTTCAGATCACTCACACTCATATGCAGTGATATGCCGATAAATATTTGGTAATGAGCTTTCTGGGGAAGAAAAGCCCTAATTTGTAGTGGTTGCTGATTTTTATGGTGTAAGTATTCCCAGTGTAGTAGATTTCAAGCTCCCAATATAGTAATATTGAATTCAGAGTTGGGATAAAGTGGTAAGAAAGGTACTAGGTCACTCTAGCACAGCACGGCTCTTATGTAAGCTTAAAGGAAAACCTCTAGGTTTAATGTTTCACTGTTTACTGTAGGTTAGTTGCTTACCTTTGTGACTATAGTGATACATAATCCATCTCTACCAGCAAAACAGAGAAAACCTAAAATAAAGTTCCCCAGAATAAGTGTTCAATAATTCTACAATTCTTATTGTTGTTTTGGTATGTATATAGGTAAAAAGACCAAATCATTTCTACCTAATCTAGGCTTTTTATAAAGCTTATTTTCCTTGTCCATAAAGTAAAAATTAGAGAAACAGAATCTTGGATATTAATCTAAGCTATCTTTCTCAGTTACCTGAATTGTGATCCTACATGTGTTAATAATTGAATCAAAAATCTTACTGAATCATTTATAGTCCAAAGAAGTATAGTTAAAGACCAAAAGTGCATGACTCAGAGATTTCTGATGTTTGGCTGGGTAAGAAGAGCCAAGCTATAAATCTTGGGAGAGAGGCATGCAGGGAAGGTAAATACACTGGCTCATTAAATAGGTGGATAGAATGGGACGAGAAAGGAAGATGACCAGAGAACAAATTAAGGACACCCTTGAACTAGAGAGAATCAAGTTTCTAATTTAGTAACAGACAAGTAAGTTTTTAATTTTACATAAAGCATTGTGTGTACTATCCCAAGATTGAAGGCAGTCTGTAAAAAAAGGTAACATCAAATAGAAAAATATGTAATCGGCATTACATACTGATCCAAATACAGTATCCTACCACTGCATTATTGTAGTGTTGTTAAATTTTGTGTACATGCCCCAGATAGCATCTTTTTTAACTTCTTTGGCCCTTGAATAAGTTAGAAATATTGTTAAGTGGTATTTAGAACTCAAATTCATTTAATCAAGAACTGATTTGGAATGCACTAAAGGGCAAGCAGTTAGAATTACTTGTAGACCAGTGCCTTACTGAGTTTGGGCTGCTATAACAGAATACGTACCATAGACTGGCTTATAAACAACAAAAATTTATTTCTCAGTTCTGGAGGCTGGAATCTGAGACATCAGAGTGCCAACATGGTTGGCTTGTGATTGTATTGTGTCTTCTCACATGGCAGAGAAGGTGAGAGCTCTCTAGGTCTCTTTTTCATAGAGTACTAATCATGTTCATGAGGGTTCCATTTTCATGACCTAATCACCTTCCCAATGTCCCACCTCCTAGTACTATCATGATAGGGGATAGGATTTCAACATACAAGTTTTTTTTTTGATATCTGTTTGGTGAGTGGGGGGCACACAAACATTCAGTCATAACACCAGATTAATTGAATAAAGTTCTTAATGCAGAATTTCTGCCATCACTTCCCCTACTTCCCCTGCCCCAACTCTAAGGGTGTGCCTTAATAACGTTTAATGAAAAGAGGAAGGAGTTTTTCTATTCTATCAAGTAATAAATCTTGCTCTGTTACATTGTAAAATTTATAGTAATCATTTTCTCCTTTTTATTTTTTTACAAGACAATGCTAGCTCATAAACTGTTTTCACTGTTGTTACTTTTTTTCAAATACATTTCTATAGCCTTAATATAGTCTTTTCTAATATGAAGACTGTTTTCCAAATTGTAGTCTTTTAAAAAGAAATAGTTTAAATCACAAAAGGTTAAGAATCAATAGTCTATAACCTCCTTTTTTTGAATATGACACAAGGTACAAATATACATACATATGTATGGTTATTTGGGTGAGAGTTCACAGATATCACATTGCTAAGGGTTTTGATAAGAACTTTTACTTTGGGTGTTTCAAATCAAGAAAATCATTGCAAGTGATGCCTGTGATAAAATACATCTATCTGGATTGTTTAACATCTTTTTGGGGGCCTATTTTTGGAAAGGATTCTATAACTCTAGCAGCTGATATGTATAATGACACTCTAGTAAAGTGATAAGATATGCAGTGTTTTATTCAGCGTAAGTAGTTGAAAATATTTCATTTGTGCTTTGTTTGCTTTGTGGTTGGCACAAAAAGTTGTCTCATAAAGGAAATAAAACTACCCTGACCCTTTTAAACTGTTTCCTTAAAAAGTCACTGCAAAACTAGGCATTAGCTGAAATGAAGGGATAATACCTTTTACTAATATCATTTCTTTACTATTTGGACTTGGAATATTAATGGCAGAAAGGTTCAGGTATTTACTGTTGAATAAGATCCTCTCCCTCAAAAGAACTATTTTGTTATTTTAGTCTTAGTTATGTAAAAATCAACAAATTTGAGGTATTTGTTTACAAAATTTAACAATGTAAATTTTTTTCATTAAGAGTTTTTTTTTTTCTTTTTAAGTAACCCATCTCACTGTGGTACCACTTAAGTACTAGGCAAACTCATATATAATATTTGGAAAGAGGTACTCTTAGTCTGGAAATACCTCTTCATACTTGGGGCTCAGGTTCCCTTGCTATAGATAGGAAGAAATTGGATTTTACTGTCTTGCATACACAGCCTGGGACAATAAAAGCACACTAGTTTTGAAACTTTACTGGTCAGCTAAAACAACTCATCTAGCTCTGAGACATAGAATTGATATATATGTATGGGTCCCTGCTGAATGTTTTTTGCCTAAGGTATTGTTAGGCAGCAAGGAATCCAGAATTTATGGTATACCAGAATTTGTGAAAATGAGTATTCTAGAACATGTAACTGTATATGATATATTGTGTGGTGTGTGTGTACTAAATCTGGGGAAGTTGAATGAGCAAATCTGAAAATGTGCTTTACCTTGGGTTCATTCAGATGTGTTTGGGTAGCTTGATATGCAAATAATTGAAAATAATTGTCATTAAAAGAATTGTCATACTTTTTCATTAGTTATGTACATATTCATATAAAAACAGCTTATTGTAACTGGTAGTGCAGTTTCCATAATGTTTATACTGATACATTAGATTTCACTAACTCAAACCAATTCTAAAGGTGCCTAGACCTAATTTGGTGTGTTTAGCTTCTCAGTTTACTTACCACTTATGCACAAATGCAGGGCTTTATAATTTACTTAGACCCATTGTCAACACAACAGATACCAGAAGTACAGATTACTCAGGTATTTGGCTTTTATAAATTATTGTTCTTTATATATCTTGAGTTTTTCTCTTTTCTAAGCATGTATTTTTCTTTTTCTTCCAACCCCAATCTCTTTCCAGGGCGTGATTGACTACATTTTCTATTCCAAGACTCATATGAACGTGCTTGGTGTCCTGGGGCCTTTAGATCCTCAATGGCTGGTTGAGAACAACATCACTGGGTGTCCACACCCTCACATCCCTTCAGACCACTTCTCACTGTTAACACAACTTGAACTCCACCCTCCATTCCTGCCTCTTGTCAATGGTGTTCACTTGCCTAATCGGAGGTAGTGGAGTACTGCCCCGCAAGGACAGGGGCGGGGGGATCTGTTGCTATGGACCTGTACAGTTGTAAATCAAAGTACGTAGGAGTGAAGTATGGCCATCCTTAAGCTGCTTCTTCCGGTTTCTTTCATTATGTGTTTGCTGTAAGATTTTGTACATTTTTGTGCATATTGGTATCATTTGGCACTAGGGCTGGAACCAAAGTTTTAACTCTCTCCCCAAATTTTTAATTTAACATGTTTTTAAATTGAACCTTTGTATTATATTAGAAGTCAGCATTCATAATTGATAAATCACCATTTTGAGGCCCAACAACAGTGTATTTGTTTTTCTGAAACAAATACTTTCTTTTGAATGGTTTCAAATCAGCCAGCCATTTTTGTAAAAGGCGATTTTTAAAAATTACAGGATTTTAAACCGAGTGATGGCTTGCCTTGAAGGGAAAATTTTCTTGGATTTTTGTTTTCCATTATAATAAACTGAATTTTGGCTTCCCTAGTCATTTGTACATTAACAAAGTGCTTAAATTTGCTAGATCTGTACATAAACTATGATGTAGCCTTTAGCTATAATAAGAAAAGTTGAGAAATTAAAGATGGTTGCACAGTATGCTTTCAAAATCAAGTATTTAACAGCATATGACAGTTTGTTGGGCAAACAGTGGTTTTTTGTTTTTTTTGAGGAATCACTATTTTGTTACCCTATTAGTTATATAGCCTTACTAGAAGTATTAATTCTAAGCTTATCTTTCCAGTTTACTTATAGGGAAACAACGGGTAATTTCTACTGCCACACATCTTGAAAATAGAATTTGGTATATATTTAGGATGCCCACAAATTAGTGTTCAGTATTTCATCGTTCCAATCCACCTTTTCTGCCTGGTTGTGTTAGAGAACAGACATTATATGATCTATAATCATTTTTGCTGTTATAGTCAGATGTTAAAAAAAGAACTACTGAATGAAAAGGCCCTGATCAAAATTACAGAAGGGGAAAGCTATACAAATATTTCATGTGTTTCCCAAAGTAGGTCAAGTGGCTGTTGGTTTTGGCTTTTTGAGGTGACAGTGGAAGGATTTGGGGGAGAGAGGGAACAAGGAATAGTGAAAAACCTTGGATCATTTTTCCTGACTCTAGTTGCCAAATGGCCATTATATGCTTTTAATCTTTGTTTCCGTTGTCTGTCAGGGAAGTTGAACTAAGAAGCTACTGGTTTATCCCCAACTGTCGATGCTCTTTAGGTATGTTGAAATCCTTTTTTTTGCCCAGGAAGGGTCAGTTGAAAATCTGTGACTCAAGAGGCAGTGGACATGATATCATTTTCTGGGGTAAAAAATTGGTTGGCTACTTGATGTTAATTATGGCACAGTAACAGGAAAAGGTTGTGTCTGTGTTTTTAAGTTTTTCTTTATTCTGCTTTTTTGCTGCTATTAAGAGTTTTCTGAAAGTTATATTTTAAACTTTTCATGCACTTTACTGTTTCTAGGCTCAAAATGTGATATTTTTAATAAATAAGAATTTTTCCATTATATGAATGAAATTTTAAAATAAAATAGCCTATATTTGTGTCTCACTAATATATAAAGTACAGGTCAAATTTAAATTATTTAATTAGTTTTTAAATATATACAATTTGTCTCCTCTCTCAAACTGACATCTTAGACTGTTTCATTAGTTTTAAATGATGCATTTCCTTTGGTCATTTTATACTAATTTCTTCCATAGTAAATTAATCACTCTATATAAGATAATATTTCCCTGAAGGATAATTTTAGTGGGACAAGGGTGGTGGGATGATGTAATATCATATATAGGTTTGTATCAGAAGGGTTCTGTAAAGCCTAAACTCCTTTTTAAAAGTGCCTAGTGATAGAGGCATTGTTTGTCATCTATGATAATTGGGATGTCATTATAGTTGAGTGAAGTTTGATGTAAATAAAATATTCTTTTAAAAATGTTAAAATGCTATAATAAACAAAGAAACAACCCTTAAGATGACAGATTTTCCTCAGTGTGCAGGTATCCCTTCTTATATACCTCAAGCATTCAACATCTAGCCATGCAAATTGATTTTCTGAAGCATAGTACTGGAAAGTAGAATAGCATGAAAAACTTAATTTTGTGGACATTACCTTTTTTTGTAATCAGCTACTGTATGTTTTTTTAAAATCTTGTTTTGGGTGGGTTTTCTGCTCTGGAGGTATATGCACTAACAAAATATTTTCCTCCTTTCATATACGCATGTTAATTAGCAACGTGAGCAATATTTCCTACCATACTTCACTCCCAATATTTTTTGAGATGTTTGTATAAAATGGAATTTAAAGTTCACTTATGATTGTATATGAACCACAGAGGAGCCCATTTATTAATAAAAAAACCTTTTTTAATAGTTAAATGTAGAGGGAAAAAATAAAAAACATTGGGAAACATTGTAAACAGCTTAAGTTTATTTTGTGTATGATTGAGGCACTCTGTTGCAGGAAGGTGTGTAATTGGGTTCTCTCTGCTTCCAAATGCACTCTTTCAAACCATTCATTATCCTGTGTATTTTTAATGTGGTTTTAGTAAATGTTGGTAGTAGCTCTGTTGAAGTAGGTAATTGTGTTATGTTTTGGGTGGCACACACACTTGGGGCATGGTAACCCAGATTTCATGTGCACGGTTTCCCTTTAGCCCACTGCCCAAATTTCACACACCCTTCACCCTTTGTTCCCTTTGTAAAAGGAGTGGTATCTGTTTTGAGCTGCCAATTCAGATGATCAGAAATGCTGCTCTCCTCAGTATTGTCTCGTTAAAACGCATGCCACTTGAAATTTTGGTAGTGAGAAGCCAAAAGAAAGAGGTGAATAACAGATGGTATATATGTATATATATTCAGTGAAAGTAAAATATTTATGCTCAGATACTTTCTAGTTCTCAGAATAAGTTAATAAGCTTTATGCCATGGGGCTGCTGCATATTTTATCTGAAGATAAAAAAAAATTGGGCATTTTTTAATTGTGATAATGTATTTTTTTTAACTGTTAAATATGATTTCCGATATTTGTCTAAGAACTGGAGTGTTCTTGAAATTTTTTAAAACAGTGTTGTTTGAGGAAGGGAAACTGCACTGTGTACCATTACATCAGTCATATATGCATGTCAAGTCACCCACTCTCAGGCATCAGTATCCGCCTCATAGCTTTACACATTTTGATGGGGATTATTGCAGCATCCTCAGGCCTGACATCTGGGAAAGGCTCAGATCCACTTACTGCTCCTTGCTTGTTGACTTTGTTTTGAAATAATGTGCCTGGTGTCAACTTCTAAGCAACAGCACTGCCTAAAAGCAAGCAGAGAACAGAATCCCAGCACCATCCTATAGGCAACTTTTTAGAATTCAGATACAGTAAATCTGTTCCAGATTTATGATGTTTTATGTGAAAAAAAATTTTGTATGATGTAGTCGAGTATTTTTGTTTCATTTCTTCGATGTAAGGCGTGTGAATGTTCGTTTGAATATCACATGTTAAAGTCAGGTATGACACAGTGGGTTTCGAGACCAACTTTCATCCCCTCCCATTTGCCTTGCTCTAAGCTTTCTTTTCAAATTATATTTCCAGTATTTATAGGCAAATATTTAATTTTACTAATAAGCATCCTGTGTGAATGTATTAAAAAAGCCACTGTGTTTTAGTGTTGTAGTTGGCAGAAATGTATAAAGCTTCATTTCTTATTTGTCCCTGTTCTTTTGTGTTTTAAAGTTATTAAATCACAGAGAAGCAAGGGAGAAAGTTGAAAAATATCTAAGGTTCATATCACTTGATTCCAGGGTGTGCTATATTAGAATTAAGGATGTGGCACATTAAAACTGGAATGGGGGCAAACATACTATGTTACACTTGAAAATTCTATCTTCTAAATAATATATTGTTAAATGGGTGAAAAATTAAGTTTGCATTTGCATTTCCAAGAGTTTGTAAAATTTGCTAATGCCATTTATACTTGCCAATCAAATAGCAAGGAGTAGTGAAAGCACAAGAGAAAATAGGTTGTGTTCTTTGATGGAACCCGAGACATACAACTCATCATTTCCAACACAAGGCTAGGTTTTCTAGCAATAGGAATTGACTATGTCCAGTACTTAACAGTACTTAACTTATTTCTCTATTCTGAATTCTTGAGGGAATTTAGTAGCTTTGTAAAATGCACTTAATGATCAGTAGCTTTGGTCACAGAAAACACCATCAGTTTCTGACATATTCGGCAGGCCATAAGAATAATGGCTTTATAGCAAGCAAAGACTTTATGACACGTTTTCAAAATAGCACTCATATACATACATATATATATATATTGACAGAAATGTGAATTCTTCTATTTGTAAGGTACTCTCTCCCACCTGCCCTCCTGTAAAAAAAAATCACCTTTCTCATGTGTGGATATTTGTTTAATATTTTCCTTCTGAATTTTATCATGTTTGTAGAACTCTGAATTAACAGGTAGACAAATTAGGGAAATCAGAATATTTTTCTAAGCCAGGAACTTCAACCAAAGCTTTAAATTTGTAGATAAAACTTTTATACTTATGGTTGGTTTGGGCATTTTTAGTTATTTAATGTAAGCATATCACCAAATTGAATTCAAACGTAAGTAAATTAGTACATTTTTAACCTGGCTTATTTACCAAAGTTGTAATCTCTTTAAGAACAGGATGCCAAGAGCATCTTTCATTTTATGGAATGATACACACATCTTTATTGTATAGGTGTCACTTTAAAGCTTGAGAGTAAGAAGGGAAAATGAAAGTCCTTACACCTATTCTGCAGGATGTTCTGAACAAGATCCACAGAAATAAAACAAAACACGTTTTTTTTCAGAAGTGGTAAGGGACAGCATGGATGTTTCTTGTTCTAACCAAATACCTTCTTTATGTAAATTTCTCTGTAAAATCACAAGTCCTACAGCAAGAAACAGGGAGATAACCGGAAAAAGCCTAGTTAATAATTTCTTTTGGCATAAATATTTTTGGTTAGACAGTTATTCTTGGAACCAAAGGAAAACAAGCATGTTGAGGTTTTATTCAACAAACATTAGGACATTGAAGTAATGGAATGTTTTTAAGTCAAGTAGATTTCACTTTCAAAGAAGATGAAATAAGGACATTTCCACCTGTTAAATGTTGATTTTTTTATGGCACATAGTATAAACTGAATAGCAGTGTGCTGAAATTAGAAGTGTCATCAGAAATAAATCAAATTATAAAAAGGGTATGCAAATGCAAAGTGATATGACTCTTTTGGCACATTAAGTAGTATGGTATATTTAGCTTTCAGAAACTTTCAAAAGGCATAGTTTGGCACCTACTGTAGTTATTTTTGTTATTAGAACAATCTTCCTGAACTTAATTTCCTTGTTTGTATGTCTGTCATTGTAAAACATATGACTCATGGCAGCCCTCTCAGAAAGTGGTCCTTTCATACTCATTTCAATTTTGTGTTAATATTTAATTACTGACATGACTGTATTTTCTTTCAAGCTATCAATGGGTGTTATATTCCACATTTGTTTAATTAGTTAACTCACACAATTGGCTCAGTGTTGATGTGTCAAATAATGACTTTGCTTCTTACCAAACAGGCTTAGTTTCTTGCCACTTGTTTCAGTCTTGATGCAGTGAATGATGAAGTAGTCTGGGTGTGTGTTTATTCAGGAACTGTACTATCCTTTCTCTGTGCTTAAATTGCTAAAAATACATTTCCCTTCCCTGTGAAATACCTGAGCGGTGCTCTGCCAACTTTTTGTGGGGAGGGGTTTGGATGGCTGTGTTACTGCACACTGGATCTGGAATTGTTCAGTACTGTGAGTGGCAAATCTCTTAAACACCAGCAGCACTGAGAAGTGCACTATGGGCATTCGTACAGTTGTCCAAATGCAAGCAAGTCTTTCATCGAGGAATGCAATTGAAGAATAGATTCATTGGAGTACTAGGAATATTTTGAGAAGGATGAAAGCCTCATCTTTGTTTTTTGTTGTCTCTAGAGTGGGATGATACAGAGGGAGTTACTTTAGTTGTAAGAAGAGGACTGTGTATACACCTTTTCTCTGCAAGGGCCAGGGTGTTGTTCAGATTCACTATGGATTAGTTTACATCTATTATGATGTCTCTGAACCATAAAATAAGTGCCAACTAATTGTCCATGAGATGATCTATTCTTCCACTCAATTTACTATTTGAATAGGAAAGCGTTCGTTTATTCTCATTACTTGGCATTAAATCAATAATTCGTAGTTCTGCATACATTTGAGTCATTATGTAGCCTATAAAGTGTTTTTATAACTAATTTAATGGTTGGAAAGTAAAGCACATGAGTTTAAAAGTGAGCAAGATACTTTGGTGATTTTTTTCCCCCCTGAGTACTGGGTAGTTGCTATTGATACTATTCCAAAACAAATTGTTCTAGGCTGTGTATTTACTTTGCTTATGTCCAAAGAAAAAGCCAAACTAAATCATTTCATTACTGTGGTCTAAGAATCAGTTTAAACTTTTAAGATTTTATTTCTTTCTCTTTTACGTAGGAGATTTAATGAAGTGCCATGTAATTGAAGCTTACTAGTGTTTAGTGTTTAATGTTTAATAGACTGGTTCTGTGGTGGTCTAATCATTTAACACTCTGTCATCCCTGGAGAAAATGGTTCTGCTTTTACTGAACACATTCTCTCTGACAAAATCACCAGCTGCTTTATTTTTCTATTTATTACAGTTAAACAGTTGATGAGGTTTAAATCTCAACCAAACTGCTCAGCTGAGATGTTTTTCACAATAGACACTGTACAAAATGTGCGTGCAAAAGGACACAGTTGGGTGGTAGTATTTTTTCATTAATGTGAACATTGACTAAACAAAGCAGTCCTGCCTTTTAAATCTTGTGGCAGCTCAGAAGGGAGGTGCTTAAGAACCTTAACTACTATGTCAGATGACAAAATACTTTTTTCCATTTTGGAGATTGGGTACTGCTCACACATGATGTATAGGGCTAAATATATGCTTGTTTCCTCGCACCTGTGTACTTCCCCTTCTCTCCCTCCCTCCCTTTCCTGTAGGCAATAAATGGCCATTTTGCAACTGCATAGCTTTGTCTTGTTTTTATTACTCTTTCTGTGTGCAATGTAAGTGCTTTTAGGTCATTACATCTCTTGTAAAGTGAAGTAGGGAACCAAGGTGATTCAGGCAAGATAAAATAAATTGATATTACCTTTTTTTTTTTCTGGTGAAAAGTCTATCACTACTTAATATGTTGTTTAGAATAAGTTTGGAAGTTAGTCATGCGACTTGCTTTGGCTGAAGAAATCTGAGCAGAGGGATATGTGTCACTTCTGAGTGGGGTGTTAAGAACCAGTCTGCAATTTGGCATATTCCCTTTTCTTGCCTTTGTGATCATAGAAGCATATATTGAAACAAATCCTATATGCTTGAGTGACTGTTCAACATAGCTCCCCTGCTGAACACAGGACATTTAGCATAAGTGAGAAACTCCTGATGAATCTCAGTATCTTAATACAAAAGGGTTTGTTCTTATAGCCCATCCTGACTGATAGACAACCATCAGACACATATGCTAAATTACCAATTTTATCAGTCTCAACAGGTGGATCTCCAAACACCTAGAATAAGTTCATTCAAACATTCACATACTTACTATGAACAAGGTGCTTTGGGGGATATAAATAGGGTTAGGCTCCCCATTCTACGAAAATTCACATTCCAAACTCTTTTATTTATGACAACAGGACAAAATACTGAAGTGGTTTAGTCTGAGTAAAGGTATCTTAAATCTTAGAATCTGGGAAGGAGAGTGGGAAAAAGCAGTGAAATAGGAATTCTGAAAATTATGTTTAGGGATATTCAGTTGAAAAATGATTTTGAGATACAGTTTGAGAACAGATTATTCTTGAAGAGTGTGAAACAAAACTGAGCTGTTGAGCTTAGTAAGTGCTTGAAGATAACAGCATATTATTTTGGAACACATTGCTAACATAACAGATCTCTAGGTTGAAAAGCTCTATGCCTTCTGATTGGTCCTTTCCGGTAAGTATACAATAATCTGTATCCTTACTCACTGACCCTAAGGACCCTCTTCTTTACAGAAGCCTTAATGTTGGCCAGCCTCTCTGAAATCTTCCAAAAGTAGAATCACTCACCCCTGAAGTGGATTTTGAAGGGGTCAGGTTTTAGGGTGCTGCCTTACTGAGAAGATACTCCTAAGATAGAGCAACCAAGACATTTACCAAATGTCCTCACATTCCACCATGTGACCTTGGACAAAACGCATCCTTATTGGTAAAATGGTTATAAATAATCTCATGAACTGGTTCTCTCAAAAAGCAAGACAGGAGATCACTGGAAGATGGCGGTGTGAATAGTTCAGAGGAAATCTCCTCCCCAAAACATATATATTTATGAAAATCCAATAAATACAAAAATTCCTAAGAGACACCAGTGGATGCAGTACAACAGCCAGGATACATCTACATCTGCAAGAACCCAACATCACACGAAGGGAGTAAGATACAAGCCACGGCCAGGTGGGACCCGAACACTCCCCCACCCCAGAACCTGGCAGGAAGAAAGGAGTCGCAACGGGGAGGGAGTGAAAGCCCAGGACTGCTAAATAATCAGCTCTAGAAATCCATACCTGGAGCGCAGACAAAAGGTGCACGGGCTGTGGGATATCAGAAAAACGGAAAAGCAAAACCTGTGGGCAGGTCCCCGCAACCAGCACCCCTGAGACAAAAGAAAAGCGAATGCTTTCTGTAAGTCTTAAAGAGACAGGGACCCCATAGCTGGACAAAGTCGTCCCAGCATACTTAGCTAGCAGCTGGGAATCCCAGGAAACCTTAGGCGCCCTAAACCCCGGGGAGGCAGTGCAGCTCTGAAGCCCCTCACGGCACTAAGCAGCCTGCCGGTCATTCCCCCAACTGGCGCAGACCACAACACAGCAGCCCAGTAGCAGGAGAGTGACAGCGTGTGCTGGGGGTGGCAGCGCCGGAAGGGACCGGGACCAGATTGCGTGTGCCAAAGGCAACAGAGGGGACAAGGAGAGGCTTGTGCGAGCCCGCAGCGGTGGCAACCGAACAGCCGGGGTTCAGCTCATGCATACCGGCGGCAGTGGAGCCAGAAGAGCTCAGTAGAGGCCCGCGTGGGAGAGCCCTGTGCACACCTGCACCAGAGGGAGCAGGCGCGCTCCCAGCAGCCAACCTGAATCCCAGCCCAACACACAGCTGCCCGGGCCAGACCCAAAGGTCACTGCTGGCACACAGCAGCCTGGCAGGGGCGCCACTATAATGGAGGAGTGCACCTGGCGAGCCTGCCACTCTGCACAGTGTCCGCGCTGCTCTGACAGAGACCCCACCCACAGCAGCTTAGGGGACTAACCCGGTGGCTGATCCAGGAGTGCGGGTAACCGACATAGGCAGCGGAGAAGGGCAAGGCATCCAGCAAGCAGGAAAGTATTTTCTTCTCCCAGCTGACACACCCGCAACCTGCCTACAGCCACTGCTATCACCATGAAAAGGCAAATAAATTTAGTCCAGTCCAAGATAGTTCAGACAACACCTGAGAAAGGATCTGCAGAGACAGACCTAACCAATCTCCCTGAAAAAGAATTCACAATAAAAATCATAAACATGCTGACAGAGCTT